CGTGGTCGGAAGTTTTGAAAGAGTTCTTTGTGTGTGGAGATGCTTTAAGAGACTTTTAAGATGTTTTTTCGTGTATTCTTTGTATAGTTTAATGCTACGGGATATGTTTTGGCTCAAGGCCAATTCGTTTGGCTAGTGTGAGAAAAGGGTGCGAGTGTCTGAGAGCAGCTAGTGCAGCGTTTGAAGTTTTCCGAAGTATTCGGAGGTTTGAGAGAAAGGTTTCGTTCCGTACCGGACGAGTGTGAGAGAGCCTGTTGTGAGCTAAAGATCCAGGGAAGGTAGGTAGTCTACCGTGTAAGGTAGCTACCCGGAGCTTTTCGCCATAGTCAGTTCACAGTCAGGTTTTGACTTTTTAATTGTCTCACTAGCACAGAGGAAACACCTTTTGATGAGGGGGAACCGGCCTCTGGCCCTTGGTGGCGTTTTGGTTTCGGTTCTGGTGTTTGGGTTCTTGTTTGGTTTTGGGGTTGCTTGTGTTCTCTTCCCCCTCATCATGCTGTGTTTCCCTCTGTTGCCTCTCCCCCCTTTGGGGGGGAACGGGACAGGCAACTTTCCTGTGGCTCACGTGTACTACACCGCAGAGTGGCATTACACTGCCCCTTGCTTTTCTATTTTGGAAATGACGATCACAAGTGCAATGGTCTTCCTCTAGTTGCCACATCATGCCAACAGTGAGCCTCTGATCACCGTGTGCGCAAAAGGGTCCAGCTGACAAGCAGTGGGTCCAATATTGATGTTGGAGGACCTGCTATTCACAGGACAGTTCTCAGGCTACGCACTGATGCCTGTCAAGGGCTTTTGCTAAGCTTTCAAGGACACACTTTTCTTCGCCTTTGCCTGCAGCAGGTCGTTTCGTTATGCCCCCTGCCACTAGAACAAGATGACGCAGGCACTTACGAGTTTGTTGAAGGACAAGATACACTGAGTGCTTTGCGGAATTCATTGCCCCTGTCTCACCCTCGCTCACTTTCTCTGCAAGACCCCAAGAGTTGCGCAACAGGTTGTTTCCTTGGTCTGGGGTTCTTTTGGGGGTTGTGGTTTCTGGTTGTTGGTTGCTTGGAGGTTGTTCTTTGTTTTGTTTTGTTTGTCTCTCTGATGGATTGCAACCTGGATAGCAACTCTTTCTTAACTCGACTAAGGTGACTTGTGCAGAACCTGCACACATAGCGCCTCGACTCGTGCAAAAAATACCGTTGAATCAAGGGAGCAGTAGGACATTCAATGCCGAAGCATTTGACGATGAGCTACGCAGGAACCTACACTGACATTGCTTGCCCGTCTCAGGCTGGCACCTATGTGTCGGTCCTGCAGATCAGCCCTTTCGCCTCTGACGACTCTCTGTACAGCGCAACAGCGTAGATAGACAGCGCCCAGGCTGCCACCTTAGTGTCGGTCCTGGATGAGTACAAAGAGTACAGGCATTTGAGGCACATTAGATGCAGGGTAAAGGCGTTTCACCTTTGTTTCCCTGACGCTCGACTGATGGCTTGCTCATGCCTTGCACATGCACTTGCCTTGTGCAACAAGATGCGCACCAAGCAGCTCCCACTGAGCTGCCAGTTAGTCCCTTTCGACCTACATGGGACGCTTGTCTTTCTGTGACTCCCGGCGACAGTCTGAAGCTTTTGTAAGCTGCTAGCAGTGGTTTTCCTCTGAGCCATATCCATGCTGCCTTGCGAGCACCCTGCAGTATGGTACGTCTCTAGATACCCAATGATGCATGAACCAAAAGCTGCCTGCAAGGCATTCCAATGCCCTCCAAAAAGCTCTCGTGATGCAATTTCGCCCATAGTGTCCTGCTTCAGGACGCGCCGTCATTGACAAGCGCAACAAGCCAGCATCAAGAGAGGAGTCACGCTGTCGCAAGGAATGAAACCCAGCACTCCATGGTGGCGGAGATGGACTGAGAGCCAACCGAATTCATCGCCCCTGTTTCACCTACACGGCCTCTTGAGCTACACCCCAGGTTGCAGTTTGTCTTTTGGGGGCTTGGTTTTGGTTTTTGTTTTGTGTTGTTGGGTTTCTGTGTTGGTTTTGTTGGTCTTTCTTTTGTCTTCTTCGCTGCAACCTGGATCGTAACTCTCTCTTCGCTAGCATAAGATGACCTGTGCAACCTCTGCACACATGGCGTCTTCACCCGTGCAAAAAAAGATACGACCGCAAACACCAAATTCAAGGGGAAGACTTTTTGGATTACCCCAAAGCAGTGTGGATCCCAGCCAGCGCTGCAGGTGTTGTCCCGAGCAAAGCTTTCTGGTCAGTGCCACGCCTACGACGTGCGTGAGCGGATGCTGCCGGATGTGAGAAGGGTCCGAGATGGATCATACACCATGATGGGTGTTTCTCTTTTGCAGCACAGTTCCGTCGATCAAGTTGAAAGGACGTCGCGAAAAGAGAGAGTGTCTTTGGTCTTGGTTTTCGAGGTTTTCTTTGAGAAGAGCGTCGAATGTCGAAGATCGGAGGAATTAGATAGACTTTGACGAGTCTGAGGTTTTCGAGGTCGGTCGAATGTCTCTTGAAGAGAAGATCGGAAGCGGAGATCAGAAGGTCTTATTGGCAAAGCCATGGAGGTCTGGAGATTCAGAGTGAGTGTAATTTCTATTCTATTCTGTTTTGTGTGTGGTTCAAGCTCGCTGTGCTTGCTGTGCTAGCTGACTGCTCGTATCCGCAGCTATTTGGGCGCGCGTTTGCGTTTCGTCGCCGTTCATGGAGGCAGCCGTGATTACTGCTTATGTGGATGGGCGAGAGTTTGAGTGTGTACTCTCATTTTTGTGAGTGGCATGTTCGTTGGAGGAATTCTGACGAAGCTTTGTTGCCGATCAGTGCAAGTGAGTGTTGATTCGAGGAAGCAGCTTGAGTCAATGGGAAAGAGTACAAGAGATATGAGCGTTGAGGTGAACGATCTGGTCCCGCCAGTGTTCGCAGATTGGCTTGATATGCATGAGTCATACTACCGAATTGAGAAAGGAACAGTGTTACACCTGACACCGTTCTGCAGCTATGCCAAAGGCCGTGCTTTGTCGCGATTTCATTTCTGCAAGAAGTGTTTGAAGACGAGGCATGAGGAGAGTCCCAAGCAGCAGAATGATGTTGACACTTGACCTCGAAAGGGGGCGTGAAAGTGTCTGGCCGTGCCACACTAGTGGCGAGGTCAGTTTACAACCAAATGTGTGCAGAACAACTGTTTTGAAAACAGTAGCGTTCATGTCTAAGTGCTTTGTGAAGCCTTAGCTGTGAGGTTTTGCATTTCCAATTTTTGAGCAAGCGTTCCTTGCAGGAACTTTGTGTTTCGAAGTGTTTTGAGAGCTTTGGAGAGCATAGCTCACGGAATGTACAATGTTTAGAAGCTTTGTGAACAGAAGTCTTTGTAGCTTTTGTAATGTGAATGCTTCTTGAACAGTTGTGTGCGTGTTTGAATGCATTTAAGCTCGACACTTTCAGTGTCTCGCATGGGAACGTCTTGTATGCAGGGATACTTCATAGCCTTTTGCACTTAACTTTGGCTCAAGGCCCAGAGAGTGCGCGTAAAAGGTGTGCGAGTGCTTTCGCGTTGCTTGTGAGCTGTTGCACGTGCTTTCGTTTTGTGTGTAGGACGTTTGTAATCTACTTACTTAAGGTATTAGGTTTTTCAGGGATCCTCTGGCCCAGACACCAGCCTGGAAGCTCATTAGCGTTCCGCTGGGGACCCTAAGGAGGTTGATCGAGCCCCTGCAATGCTTGTGGTCCACGATTCGGGTTCAGAGTTGAATGCATCTTCAAGACCTGATCACGAGTCAGGCATTCAGGCAACGGTGTGGTTTTTGGCGTTTTCGGTGATCAATTTAGTCTTTTGACGGCGGATGTTTCTGCAGTGTGCACCGGTGGAGATGGGTGCGTGTGACCGTGTTCTTTTGCCGGAAACATGACCACCAAAAGTGTGCAATTCTTTCCACATCATGGCACACATTGGGTTGTTCAGACTAGGGCAGCTTTGTCACAGCTGGCAAGGTGTTATGATGTCAGTAAATCCACATGGCAAGGTTTCACAGGCTTGCTGCAGGCCTGAAATCATCATGGGCTTCAAATTCAGTTCAGTGTTCTTTATGCTTTCATGTTGAAGCAGGTTTTAAGTTTGGTGCTTTTCCCAACTACATTTTTAATGAAACAGTTGAGGATCTGTCAACGTTCAAAAACGATTCATCCTCTAACAGGTTCTGAATGTGCAATCTTCAAAAGGTTCAATGTGTCCATTCATCACTGGTTCCATGTGTCCAGTAGGGGGCAGGTTCTAAATGATTTTTCATTTTGGAATAAATTTGGGTTCGAAGTTTTCGTCAATAACTGCAGAGGAAACAATGTTGTCACTGTGCGAACCCATCGCAATCCCTGCAAGAGGTTGATGGACGTGGCTTGAGGAGGAATGATCAGCCCAAAAAAATTTTCAATCCAACCTTGACAAGTCGTCACCGTTTATGTTTGTGACCACGGTGTCGCGATCATTTCAGGGGAATCAGTTGGGTGTGGTCAATTGGGGCCAGGATAGCCGCTCCAGGCCCAGCTTCAACAGATTTGTTTCGGTTGGTTGCCAGAATGGCTCAAAAGGAGAGTTGCCCTGGGCTCCAGGCAACGATGCGTAGTATAGAGGACTATGCACACGTGCTTCATGGCTTGTTGGTCTCATCAGTTCAACTGCTCAGTGTAGTTCACAGTTTCGCAACAACTAGGTTTGCTTCAAGTTGCGGCACGATATATAGTAGAACTGTATGCTGACATGAAATTTTTGTGATCAACACACCCAGCAACTTGCCAATGAGGGTGTGCATGCTCAAAGACCAGTGCTCCACGTGCACAAGATTGCAATGTATTGCGAAAAATTAACACCCATTGTTTTTTTGCAAACCGACAATTTCAATCCCAATATGATTTCAACAAAACCGGGTTGGCATCCTTCAAAACAGATTACAAATACTCGCAGCGACCACAAGGGTCCTTTGCAGCAAGAATTGTGTCGCCCAAGCGGGATGGCCAAACTTGCGTTGACTTGGTGGTGGCCAGGGCTGCTGCTGCTGTTGGAGAGGCATGTGTGGACACATGCAACAATTTGTGTTATTTGCTGTCAATGTTGTTTGTTTCTTTGTGTTTTCAATTTTTGTGATGCATTTTTTTCTGTAAACGTCATGCCAGAAACAATGAATGGGGGGGTTAACTGGGCGATGTGGGCGATGCGATGGGGAAAGTGGACCATTTCCTGAGACTTGAGCAATCCGATTGCGGTTTTAGGTGTCATGTGTTCTTGAGTCTGCTATTGGTCACATAGAGCTCCACAAACTTTGAAGCGCTTTGTCATACACTTATGCGTCTCGTCAAGGCCAGCGGAAGGCAGCTGCCCTGACGCAGAAGGCTTCAACGAGATCTGGGGTTGCCCGTGCCTGTGATGATTTGGCTGTGGGTTGCGGGTTGCGAAGAGTTCTTCTTTTGGTTTTGAACGTGGGGATCGCAGACGATTGAGTAGCAAAAATGATACTTTTGCTTGGTGGGCTACTCATAGCAGGCGATAGAATCTGCCTGTTTTCGCAAGCTCTGGTGATCCAGCCAGCTCGCCTTTCTTCCTTCCACTTTGGCCCATGTAATGACAGCTACTTGTCCTACTCAAAGTGGCCAGCTGTACAACTGCAACTGAATCAGCAGCCAATAGTGAAGAATGCTCCTAGTAGTGATGCCAGGAGCCCCGTTCATAGCGTCCTTGCTCCTAGTAGTAGTGAAGTTCACAAGTGTGATGAATCCATTCTCCTCTTCCGCGCTGCCAATTTTTCAAGACTGCTTGTTTGTGGTTGTCGTAAAGTGCGACAGATTGCACCTGCAACAAATTCTTCTTGTTACTACTAGTAAGGCACTTGTTTCTAGTAGCGTGGCACTTGTTACTATGAAGTCAGCATTTTCTGATTCTAGATTATATAAGCATGTTTTTCACACTCCGACTTTGTGTTTCGTCCAGAGAGGGGTACACCAAGGTAAGCTTTGCCAAAAACTTCAAAACTGAAGTTTGCCCAGCACAAAAGAAAGAATTTGACCATCCAAGTTCGCCTGCAAGGAAGCTCTGGCTTTGATGCCGTGGTTGAGTTCATTGGTGTTAAACCTTTGTTTTTTTCATATTTTTTTGCATCACCTGAAATATAGTGTTTGAAGATCTGATTTTTTCTTTTGCGGCTGGGAATCCATTTTCCAATCAGTTTTCTGCCCCAATTTAACAAGGCAGTTCAAACCAGGTGGTTTTCCTGGGTTGGGACTTCAGCTGCATTTGTGCTGCAGATCCATCTGAGCACCCATAACATGCGTCGATAGTTCAACGTGCCTCGATAGAAAAGATTAGTAAGTTTACATATCAACCTTACTAATGATACAAAGCAGGTGGCAATGTCATGAACAGGACCTTCACACCCAGGAGTGAGAACTTTAGGTTTTGTGAGCTTTCGTTACTTCCCGCTTGAACTGTTTATTGGAGTCGCCTGTCTTTCTCTCAGGTTTTCATGCATGTTTCAACGTGTCTCAGTCCAAACCTACTAGTAACAAGAAGCTAGTAGAAACAAGTGCCTTACTAGTAGTAACAAGAAGGTCACTAGGGTTACTGACCCGAAACAACTTTGGCTTGGGATCTCTCGTTGAGTTCCGGGTTCCAGCTCCGATGCGTTCACTCTCAGGGCCGAGTCCTTGGGGCCGGAGCTGCTGGCGGACACCGCTTTTGGGAACACAGCGACTTGGGGCACCTACCTGAAAGACACCGGCCACTTGGAGGAGCCACCAACCGTGGGTGGATTTGGGTCAAAAACTGGTGTGTTCCTTAAAGACGTGTTGATGGACAAGCACTTCTCTGTCGCTTAGATACAGCCCCATGCAACGCTTCCCGGTGCCGTCAAGTCACGTTCGTTTTGCTTCACGAATGCCGTCGGGCTTGGTCCAGGGCCACGGCCAGCAGAACTTTATTCATCATGAAAAGCTTCCATGATCCATCGAAGAGTTGCTTCAAAATGCATCAAGGATCTGAGTAGAGTGGGAAGTTAATGCCGAGAATCCATTTTTTGGGTCTAATCTCAGGATTGGCCTCTTTCAGCTTCACTGGGCATGGGGTGGTGGTGGATCCCTTGGCCGCCTCTTGGTGCAGCGGCTTCCGGCGTGCATCCCGTCCATGTGGCACTTTGCGGTGGGCAGGTCTCCAAGTGTGTTTGCAAGTATCTTCCAAAAGAAAGTTAGGTTGGAGGCCATGGCTCTTAGGTTGGAAACCATCGCTCTTAGGTTGGAGCTCTTAGGT